CCCTAAGAACGATTCAAAGCTGTTCCGGAGTTCTGTTTTCCTTCTGTACCGTTCAATCAGCCTATCTTTCCAGTTNAGAGTATTTGTACATAAATTCCATTTAAACTTTTGATAATTACGTTCCGGTACACGAAAAGAGTATGTAAATTTATTTACCGAAGAAACTAACTTTTTAGTTAACTTGCATCGACTGAACTGTAAACCTTTTAAGCACGAAAAATTCAAAATAGTTTACAACAGAAAATAGTATTGTTTGATTAGTCCAGTGTTCTATTTTATGGAACCAAAGCACTGTGCAGCTGTGTTTATTGTTTGGTATCACCTGGTTCTCGATAGAATAAGGGAATTGTTCTTAGAAACTGATTTGCATATTGCTTACTCAGCTGAAGTATATAACAAGCAAATGATTCGAATGTTCACTTTTGTTTATGAGTAGCAACTGTCACTTGGGTTGACTGATTAAACAAAACTCTGAACAAGGAATTATATATATATATATATATATATATATAATCGATTATAATTCCCGATTACTCTCATGCAACAAGCAGCCAGATTGTGGAAGTTTCCAACCGAATCATAACCCTAGAGATTACTGCTGATATGAGGCAGGCACGAGACCCGTAAAATGCTTGCAAAGATGGTTCGTGTTATATCGTCGAAATGGAAATGACAAACGGACTGACCAGCTGCCTGGTGGCCGAGTTCGTAGCATGCTTGCGTTCTGCCTGTGAAATCCCGAGTTCGATCTGTAGTTGGGTCTATGGATTCGCACTGCTGTTGAGAGCCAACCAGGTAGAAACAGCTGTACAGTGCTTCCTAGCTTTTCACTTCACGCTTCAATTGCTCTATACACAACAAATTTCTTTATGAAATGGGATCAAATCTTGCATTACTCTCATGCAAATCCTGTTAAATTTAATCGTGTGTACGTGCGTTTGTTTGCGTACGTGTGTACGTATGTCTGTATGCGTGTGATGCGCATGATTGATTGCAGCCAGGGAAGACCAAGTGTAAGTGCTTTTGGGCAAAACGTAAGTTTGTTGTGAGCAATCGGTAATGCCTCGGGTATACTTAGTCGGTGTGATAACGTAACAAAACCGGGAACGCGTTCGCAAGGTCTACCTTGTGACCGCTTTCAACCAAGTGAAGTGCGATAGCCGAAGTCTGTCTACGTGATGCGGGCTGAGTCATTGACTCACGCTCTTCCTTGGGGATGTGTTCAGTCAATAGCAGTGGTTGGCTAGTTCTACCAATGTATGCTTCGTTACAGCTGCAACAGAAGGTGTAAATGCAATAAGAGACAAACTCGACTGAGTCGCGATCTTTGAATGGGGGAGGGGCAGACGCCGTGTGATCGAATGGAAACGTAATGTGGCAATCAAGGCTCTTTTGTGTTCCATGGGTGAAAACCTATTGAGGTGAGGATACTGGCTGGACCAAGTCTTCTATAGGAAGATAGATCGTTGAATAGAACCGCCACTTTTACGGGTTATTAGGATAACTAGGAAATCTAGCGATTTTTTCTTCTCTAATTCACATGTTAATTTCGAGTTGCAGTGTGCTGCGTTGAATTGGTGTATGAAGTGATTCCTCGACCTATATCATTAGGCGGATTGTAGATGATGAAGCCATCATCAACGTGTCTTTTATAGGAAATTTTTTTCGAATTCCTCATCCAACCGCTCTTCAGTCATATCCAATAAAATGTTGGCCAGGATAGGGCCATTAGAGCTGCTCACTGTAACATCATCTATCGGTCAAAATGTTGGTCCTTGTAAATGGAAACGCACGTTTTCGGCGCAGAGTAAAATAATAGATTTCAAAGCAGCGGAGAGATACTTAGGTTGATATTTTCTCGTGTGGTGAATTCACAGATGAAGCCTTCGGTTTTCGTCTAGGGGCACATCGGTGAATCATGACTTGAAATCGAAGGAACACATTGTTTTACCAGATAGTTTCAAAGGAAAAAGAATGACGCAGTATGTGATTGCTAAGACGTTTGTGTACTAGCTGAAGGACGTCTACGGGCCACTGGGCTAATTTGTAATAGGGCGAATCATGCATAGATAATATGGTCCGTAAATGGACAGCTGGTTTATGTTTTTTTGATAACCCAAAAATAATCGATGTATGGCAACTCATAGGTTTTAGTTTTTTTTCATTTGTGTCTCAGTGACGAAACCATTTAGCGTGAGAATTTGTAACTCACATGTCATTTGCTCCTCTATCAATGTATTTAATTTCAAGTATCCTCCAAATAACGTCAATAAAATGTAGGTCCAAGCAGAGTTTGAGCGTTATACATTATACGTACGCGACCGAAGATAGATAGTATACGGAAAAATTCCTCTCCCAGTGTTTGTCTTCCGACTTACTTTTTCATATTCACATCAAGCTTTGAAACATCAATATTTGTACAAACAGATTTCAATAATGGTTGAATTCAGACCGTTCCAATAATTTTTTTATGATTTGCCAATAGTTGCATGCCTAAGGTTTGTGCGTTGAAGTAAAAGGGCTAAGGGTCATGACAAGAAAACTGTGGGTCCAGGTTGAAGGTTGGTCGTGGCCAAATAGTTGCGCTAATGGCTGAAGCTCGAAGGGAAGAAGTAATTAGTGGTCACCCCTGTTAGAAACGAAACAATTGAACTCATCGTTTGCTCATGTATGCATTGGAGTGTGTGCCCCATAATAATAATTGTCCTTTGAGCAAAACGCAGGCGTTAATATAAAGACATACACTGCCCACTAGACTCGTTTCTATCTGATCAAAAGGTTCCCACTTAAGGTGTGAATGAGGGTGTGGATACAAGCTTTACCCTAAGCACACACGTGTCTCAATCAGCTTCGTGACACACACAGAGAGGGAGAGCAAATTTTTCCGTTGCTTGGCAACACATTGGGCAGAAAGTGAGTAAGCGTATGCTCACAAAATTTCCATCCGGTTCACTAACTGCCCTGCCCAATGTGTACTGTGAATGCGTGTATGATCTGCCTTCTTCAGGGAGAGACGAAATGACACAAAGCATTCATGTTTCAATCGAACACTGAAATGACGAGGTAGAACTATGCGTGAATGTGATGAATTGGGGGATATAAGACACTCTCATACCGTACTGTGGTAACCGTCTATTTGTTCAAAAATCCTCCTCAGTTTCTCCCAAGTGATACTTATTGCTAAAGTCGCGTTTCATTCCAACGCTTTTATTTAAAAATTTCAGAACTGTCGAAAGTTCAGGTTGGTTGGTCGATAATGCAGCAATATGGTTCACCGTTTTCGGTTGACGCCCTTTGAATGCTCATCTGCAACTAACTAGTGAATAAAAAAATAAATGAATATCTTGGAATGACTGTAAACAAGCCTCTGTTGTGAGGTTACCAAGATAAAGATCTTGAATGTATAAAACCAACAGAAGAAGGAGCGCTCGAATTATGGCATTCTACCTGATCAGCCAATTTCTCTCCTCCATTATCCATCAAGAGGGAGGGGAAGTGGTTTCCCATGACCTACGGGGTCTAAGTTTTCCTTCCTGCAAAACAGGTCAGAGGTCATTGTTCCACGAGCCCCTCCACACCGCAACCTTCTCCAACAAACCGCACGTGTCAGAGTCCACACTAAAGCCTTCTCAAGCTATGGAGACTAAGCACTACTGTTGATTCGTGATCCCATTTATCCTGTACACTTTGTCTCATCTCACTCAGCCATGTTTAACCACACACAGTCAGTCTGTATTTATTTCGCACACGTAACGGCCTTCTCTCTGTTTCATACACTAGGAACTCCCGAAGATAGTAGGTGACTAGATGTTGTGTCCTAGACAACTTTTGTTCCTTTTTTGTTACCCATGGAGTTATTACGGTTTTACGGGTGGATTCAACCCAGAGCTGAAATTTCAATCGGAAACATATATAACAATATGGTAATACTAAAAAATGTACATTATTTGAAAACAATTCATCCATAATAGCAGAAATACCTGAAGGACAATGGGTAATTTTCTTAAGGACTACCCTCACGGTTTGCCTTAGAATACTATCCCTAAAATTTCGGAAACGGTAATCAAACAGACCCTCAAATGGATTTCACTAATGATCAATACATAATTATTACTCAACCGTTCTTAGTTTTTTGGAGCCTGTGTTTGCGATAGGATCTTCTCATTGATGATTTTGGTTAGTCTTGTCCACTTCTGTGAATCCTAGAAGAATTCTGTAGTAGTACAATCTGGTCTGGGGAGTGGATAGTTGCGGGAGGAATCGTTTAGCATCAAAAGTTCATATAATCGCTCGAATTTTAATCCGCCTTCGAATTCTTGGATATTGTCTTCAATTTTAACACAACTGAAATGTTTTCTATGGTGTGTTTATATCTAAACAGTGGTACCCGTGTGCCGCTTCAGTTTTATTTTCCCACTCCTATTGCATATATCATCATACAGCAAGTAGCCAATCTTTGCACCGTTTTATTCTGTTCAGAAATGATAAAGCATTCACATCACTTTCTGCACGTGCGAGCGTGTTTGTGTGTGTGCGTGTGCACCTGATCGTCGCATACCACCGGTATCACGTTCTGATCCACTCAAGGTCACTCCGACGCAAACACTCGCCGTTCAGTTTGTCGTTTCCACACCCTATCTGTGCGTAAACGCATTTACTTTATCTGCGTCCACGTATGATTACTCATATCTATCTATCCCTATTATTGCACTTGCACACAATTTTTGTCCTGCAATCCGATAACAATGATCATACTCCCGAAAAATGCTCCCATTCGGAAAACATTTTAACACGTAAGCCGAATAGTTAGTGAGCAGTTGCACTTATTTCCGGTCTACTTTCTTTTTCACATTTCACTTTTTCCCTGTTCGGCTGGCACGGTTGAAACCCGATCCCCTTCCACACACACACACGCTCACACGCACGCACATTTGGATCTTCGATTTTTTCAATCGATCCGCAATCACATTTGATTCGACGTGGCTTGTTCACAGGGCTATATGTCGTCCACCTTGAAACCGGCCGGGAAGAATGGAAAACTGACTGCGGTAAGTTACAAAATAGATCAGACGATCACTACCTTAGACTCGTGTTCTTATGGTGTTGCTCATCTAAACGATTAGCAAGTCATTCAACATTTAGTGTCAAAATATAATATACACGCATACAAAACACCGAAGAGCATGGTATCCCTTTCTCCGTACATCTTTTTGACCGCTTTTAATATCTGTCGGCGGTGCAAATCGACCGGAGTAGTGACAACTCAAAATCTAACATAGTTGTGAGCCCCACGTGTGTTTTCCCACGATCTAATCGCTACATGAATTTTCTATATATATAAACACCGGCTTGCTGATAAGCATGGGGTGAACGCCACAACAATAATAACAATAACGGGACGGGGTTTTGGGATACAGAACATAGCAAAAAAAGGCGAAATGTTTAAACTGGGAAATTGCAAATAAATGGGATTTCAATTTTTTGTCTTTCACCGTACAATCTGTTGAAATTTGTGTGTTAGTTAATCGCCTTTTATGGCGCACGGGATTTCGAAAGGCAGACCGTACAGCATTTGCACCACTGACTTCTATTCTGGGTCATATCTCTCAGCCTCTCAAAATAAACGACAACTCTCAACCCTTGGGCGAAACCTGGAAGGAGGGCTGCAACACCCAAAGCCAGAGCTGAAGTCAAATTCTTCATATGTCTACTCCGTGTTATGGTTTAACTGCCTTATCAACTTAACTCCGATCAACGTCAATAGCCTGCTCCTTCGTGAGCTTTGTCATATTTGGAACACACGAAAACGCACACAACGCGATGGCTTCTGGCATATCGTGCCACTGTTCACTAATCCACTGGATCAAACCCCTTGCGGCATGTTAACTGGCAGAGATCTCCTCCTACTGTCTGATGCCTGCCTCCCAGCAGGGGCTATTGCACCATTGTGCTCTTCCCCACATGTCCGCCAACTTTTGACCGGTATACAACGCACACACCATAACCCGACAACACCTCCAGGCAGCACAGCGATACCACAAATCATATTACGACCGCCGAGCTAATCCCCTCAACGTTACAACCAGGCGACCGTGTGTGGCTGCTAGAGCCAGCACCATCCGATGGAGTGTCCGCTAAACTCCACCGACCCCGGAAGGGTCCGTACACTGTCGACCAAGCCCTGTCCGACGTCACATATTGCATCACCGTCCCCAACGACCCTACCTGGTCGCGCGTGGTACACGCTATCCATCTCAAACCCGATGCTTCAAAGCAATGAGCACCATTCCCAATGACCAAGGGTCATGTGTAGCATATCGAGGCAGATCGAACCTGCCGCACCTACTTATGAGTCCGCTTTCTGTTTTCTTTCATATGTTTCAGCATAAATTTGGCAGGAACAACCGAAAGAAGACCTCTAAGAGAACGAAGGAAATCAGAACGAAAAATGACAAATTTGTTGAAATAAAAGACTATCGATTTTGAATAAAGAACAGGTTTGCACAATGTATCCTGGATCATTTTGCTGCATCTGTACACGTGCATATTGCAGTCTATGTGATCATTAATATATGGTCAGTAAGAAAGATTGCGGTCAAAATTACTCACTTACCAAGGTAGCGCCAGAGTGATAAGCCATTCACGCTATTTACATAGTTTGGGATGGTAATTTTGAATGGCTAGTGCCTCGGCGTATTTCAGAACCTTGGTGTTGTTTGTGTTGTATAGGATTCTGAACGCATCGCGCAGCATGACACAGTGTTTCATTTCGACCAGTGTGATCGACGAACTGAGTTTCCTACGCGTCATTGGTGACCTCATACTTCCGAAGTTTCCACTCATTGTTTTCTGAAGCC